CCCGAGTCCTGGGGGACAGCCCCCTGCCCCGCGCCGGTTGGCCCCACCGGAGAGTGGGGCTCTGGGTGTCTCCACGCGCTAGTCCAGGAAGACGCCACTGGCACAGCATGGCCAGCGGCATTTTCTAGTGGCAAAGGAGAAACAAGTGAACTTAATTGCAATCACATCGTTTATTTAACTCTATTTCAAAAATGTGATCACGTCAACATGTGGCTAATACAGAAACTACTACTGAGGAACGTCACGTTCTCTACTTGCCCACGAAGCCCCCCGAGGCTGCGTTCTGCCCACAACACGCACCTCATTCCGCAGCAGGCTCCCCTCAAACACCGCGCTGGTGGCTCCTGCACGGGACCGTCCGGGTCCAGCCCTCATTTCCCGGATCCACTGAGCACCTCGTGACACAGGCCGTCACTCACAAAATGTTTGCAATCAATTGTGGGCCATTTTAAACTTCCCTTTCGTTTGTGTAGTTAGAAAATGAGCTAAAACTATCGCTAGGGAGGTAGACACTGAGAATGCCTGCCCCTCCGCCTGCTGGTGGGCTTCCCCCTCTCCGGGGGGCCTGAGCTGGAGAGGCCTGATCCCTGGCCGTGGGGGGCCTGAAGCGCCCCGAGATAATGACTTAATGAACACCCACCTGGGCACTTTTGATCTCCAGGAGCGGTGCCCACGCGCTGAGGCTGCTCCTGGATTAATTGCCCTGAACCCAGAAAGCCTTGCCCGGAGATAAAGGGCGCTGTGGTGCTTCATCACTACAAACTGTCCTGAGACCTGCCCTGGCACCAGCAGGGGCCTGGGTTTGGACGCCCCCCGGGCCCCACCTGCACGGCCGGGCCGGGGTCGCGGCGCTGCCTCTGTGCATCTTCGAGCGTGTGCGTGGCTGGGAACAGCCTGCGTGCGCGGTGATTGGTCCCCATTTTCCGGATGAGAGAACTGAGACTGGGGCGGTCTGTGGGCAAACACCCCAACAGGGCCACGGTCAAGGGGCAGAGGGCAGCCAGGCCCGGGTGTGGCCCTCCCCATGCCCACGCGCCTGGGGGCTGGGGGTCAGGCAGGCGTGGGCTCGGGGGCTGCTCCCCGTGCGCGGCAGGACGAAGGCCGTCCACGTGGCCCTCGGTGTCTCACCGGAGCCGGCGCCCGGCCGTGCAGCCGCCGCCCCGGGACCACCTCTAAATGGGCTGCAGGGCGAACACGCCGCCCAGCCCACGCAGCGCTGGGCACAGCACAGCCCTCGGCAAAGGCACCTCGTCCGCCTCCACCCGGCGTGGCTCTCGGGGGCCACCAGGCCCTTCCTGCCCCTCCCGGGCACCGGGAGGGAGCCGGAGCCGTGGGGCCCAGCCAGTCACCGCTGCGGTGTGGTGGCCCACCTCCACTTCTTTGGAGCACCCGACTCACCCTAATTATGGGCCCGGGGGCACAAACAGCGAGGTGGGGACACCGGAGGAAGCCCAGAAGCACCGGCTCTGGGGGCAGACTGGCCCCCCGGGGGTCTCCACCTCCCACCCGCATCCCCCACCCTGGAGATCCCCTGCACCCCCTTCTTCTGCTGGGCCCTGCAGCAGGTCTCCCCGCTGCCCGCCTGCGGCCCGGGGTTTCCTGCTGGCAGAGACCCAGGCGCGCGCGGGGCGGGGGCTGGGGGCGCGCCTGGGTCCCCACCCACGGAGCCCGCAGTGGGGCCAGTGCCTCCTCGGCCTCCAGTGTGTTCGGCCTCATTCTCCAATGTCTGCAGCGTGGGAACCTAATAGCCTGGGAGGGAGCTCGAGCCCAGGCAGAACGCAGCACGTGACCACGCCGGAGCGGCCTGTGCGCCCCGCGCCGCGCAGGTGCGGTGCCCCAGGGGCCAGGCCCCGGCCCGCGGTTAGGGCCCCGCGGGGCCGAGCATCCTGCACCCGCCCACTCCCGCAGCCCCTCCTCCAGGGGCCGGAGGGAGGGCGGCCGGAGCCGGAGTGGGCGGGGTGCCGGGGGGGGGGGACCGGCGCGGGGGCGCGAGCCGCAGCGGTGGTGGGTCCTTGCCCAAGCCGGCGACCTCGCGGTCCAGCGCGTCCCACGGCCCCCATGCCCGGCTCTCGTTCACGGAGCTTCCGCCCGTTTCTCCCGGGTCCGGGCGAGGGCGGGGTGGGCTGCGCTCAGGGGTCTCTGTCCCACCCCAGGGCGGCCTCCGGGTCACACCGTGCGGCGCCCGAGTCCCCCCAGGGCGGCTGTCGCGCGGCTGCAGAAGTTTCCGCCACCCGCGCGCAGCCGCTGTTGTCGTGGTCGCTATGACGACGCGGCGTGGTTTTATTTTTAATAGCGGCCCGCGATTAGAGGGAGGTCCGCGCCCCCCGCAGCTCTCCAGCGCCGCGCGGGGGATGCACCAGGCCCGCCCCGCCCCCGGCACCCGCTCTGCTCCTCGACGCCCCTCGGAGGCGCCCCCTTCTGTGTCCCCAGACCCTCCCGCCGGGCCCCGAACTCAAACGGGGCGCCCCCGCAGTGCCAGGCCGCGCAGAGGAGTCAGGGCCCGAGAGCCTGGGCGTCCGCACAGCGGAGGGAGCGCCCCGTCTGAAGCACAGCGACCTTTTCTTCTTAGTTTCCACGCCAGCTACCAAACCGAACCTTTTAACCCCAAAGTAATGTCCTTGGGCCCTCTCCGCGCACGAGGAATGCGAGGCTCCCCCAGAAGGTGCCGTTGCCCTCCGGGGTGCAGGCGAGGGCGCCCACGGTGCTCTGGCCAGAGCCCTGGCAGTGCGTGTCTGGCTGCCTTCCAGAAGCTTCCAGCGGTCCCTCTCCGAGGCAAGAGAAGGTTCCACCTGGATAGACAAGGAGTGGCTTTCACGGGCTCCTAAAGGTTTCCAAGTTTCCCCGGCCCGCCTCGGTCCTCCCTCCTGACCCCGGCCGGCCTGCGGGGTCGCCGCGGCCACAGGAGGCTGCAGGTGCGCCCGACTGAGGGCCTCTGGGAATCGCAGGAGCTCCCCAACCCCGGGAATTTGGGGGCAGGTGAGCGCCCTGAAGCCCCTACGGACTCTGCCTTTGAAATGCCAAGGGCGGCCAAGCCCAGGATGTAAGACAGCCGGCGGGGATGCCTTCACTGCCTTTGTCTGGCGGGTGACCCCGGGTTGGAGGGCTGGAGGGTGGAATTTTCCGCTCTGGCCCACCACGGGAATGGGGGGCGTTTCCTAGCCTCCAGGGGCCTCGGCCGTCTAGCTTTGGGGTCGCTTGGCCCATCACTACCGGAGCTCTGGTCCCGGAAACTCGTCCGCTCGAGGGGCGAGCACGGGCGGGCTGCAGGGCCCGACGCTGGGGCCTTACCCACCTGGCAGAGGCGGTGGAAGCCACCCTGCCCCAGCGCACCCACCCTTTCGAGGCAAGGAGCCGTCCAGCCACGCGCAGGCCTCCGGCTCCCCGTGGCCCTCCCTCCGCAGCGCGCTCTGTGTCGCGCCTCGGCGGGAGATGGCGCTCTGAGTGCCCCGCGGATCCTGGAGCCGGAGGCTCTCACCCCGGGGGTCCCTGGCTAGCGGCTCCTTTCTTTTCGTCCCCTACTACCCCCTCGAGGAACCGGCTCAGACCGCAACCCGTCCTTCCCCGAAGGAGTGAGCAAGCGGGGGACGTGGGGTCCCAGGGCGGGGAGGCGGTCCTCGGCGGCCCCCGGGCGCTCTCCTATCTCGGAATGTGGGTGGAGGTTCCCCGTTCAGACGCCCCAGGCATCGTACGGCGGGCGGGGGCGCGTGGCAGCCGCCAGGTGAGTGCCCCAGAAGCGCCACTCGGCCCGCCCCGCCGCTCACCAGAGCCTCACTCCCCCTCCTTTTATGGAGACGGGGGGTGGGGGGGAGGCAGGGGCCCTGGATCCCGACCGCGGAAAGAGGCCCGAGCGCCGCGGCGGGGGGCGGGGGCGGGGGCCGGCCTGCTTTTGCCCTTTTTGGCGTCGCAGCTCTGGGCGCTGCCCTCTGCTGCCGCTGGGGCCCGAGAGGCGAGTCGACTTCTGCGGCGGCCCCTCCCCTGCCCGTCCGGTGCCGCAGGACTGCAGCTGGCTGGCACGGGAGGGTGGGCAAGCTCGAGGGAGGGGCGCGCGGAGCCCCGGCGGGGCCGCTGTGCTCGGAGCCGGGCGCGAGGCGTGGATGGATTTCACTGCCCGCGTGATCGCGTGTGTGTGCTCGCGGCGGCGGCGGGGGCGGCCGGGCCCTGCCCGGCCCGTGCGGCCCCCGCGCGCTTCCGAGGTGCGGGTCCTGGGCCCGGAATCCGGGGGAGGCGATAGGGAGGGGGCGGGGGAGGGGCGCGGCGGCGGCGGCGCTATAACCCCCTCTCCGCCGCCGGCCGGCTCCACACGCGCGCCCCGAGGAGCCCGTACAACTCCGGCGAGCTGGGCCTGCCCGCGCCTGTTCTCCTGCCGGCGGCGCGGCGGCGCCGGCCGGGTCCTGCGCCCGCCTTCAGGCCCGCGTGGCGAGGCTCCGGGCGGCGGCGGGTGCCAGGCGGCGCGGCCGCGGGTGCTGCCCGGCTCGGGCCGGCGGAGGGCGGAGCGAGGGCGCGCCGCGGAGGGCGCACGCAGGCCGCCGGGCCGCGCCGTGCTGGGCCGCGCCGTGCCCGGCCTGGCGGCGGCGAGAAAAGGCCGGAGGCGAGCGCGAGGCCGGCGGTGGGCGCGCAGGGCCGCTCGCAGCCTGCAGGGAGAGCGCGAGCCCGAGGCCGGGGCCTGGCCGGGCGTCCAGACAGGTGATGGTTGGTGGTGGTGGTGGTGCGGCGGCGGCTCCAGCCTCGCTCCAGGCTCCCTCTCGGGGCTGACGCCCGCAAACGTGCAGAATTACCGGCCAGGTCGCTCCTAAAGCCTGCGCCGGGGAGCGAGCACGGCGGCGGCCAGCACCGGGAACGCACCAAGGAAGAGGCCCAGCCCCCGCCCTCCTCCCCTTCCGTCCCCACCCCCTACCCGGCAGCCCAGGAGGCTCCCGGCGCGACGGGTGCGGCGGGCGCGCACTCCCTGCTCCTCCTCCTCGCTGGCGCTGCCTGCCTCTCTGCACTCGTTGCTCGCGCCGGGCGCGCTCCACCGGCTCGCTGCTCTCCGCGCCACCCTCCTCCGGGCCGCGCTCCCTGAGGGATGGTACTGAATTTCGCCAGCACAGGAGCCCGGCTGGAGTGCCCGCCCCGCGGCCTCGCCTCCTCGCCGAGCCGCCAGCGCCTCGGGACGCGATGAGGACCTGGGCTTGCCTGCTGATTCTCGGCTGCGGATACCTCGCCCATGCCCTGGCCGAGGTGGGTGCCATCCCCGCGCCCCGTCCCCTCTCCGACTGCCCGGGCGCACGCCCCCTGCGGCCCCGGGAGGGCCGGGGCGCCCAGGGCTCAGGCTCTGCAGAGCGTGTTTTGGTCTCTGTCAGGGTGGTCGGTTTTAAAATGTTCACAACTGGGTTTTATTTTCTGCCATGCCTAAGTGTGTCTGGTGAGTTTCCAGCGTGTTGCGTCGCTCTGCCGAGCGGGGACGGAGTGGTGGCGGGGTGGACGAGTGGGGAGAAACTTCGGGGGGCGCGGGCTCCCTCCGGGGAGTGAACCCGGGTGCGGCCGGCAATGCAGCACCGGGGGCGGGGAGCGCGGAAGGGGGTGTGTGTGAGCCGGCGGAGCCCGGGGAGGGGCCGCACGGAGGATAAACAGGTAGGGCCCCCGGCGGCCGGGGCGGGCGGCGCGGAGCCACAGCTTTGCGTACCCGGTCCCCAAGCCCGACGGGGCTGCTGGGCCGGCGCAGTCCCCCGCCCGGGGCCTGCTTACAGGTGGCTGAGTGAGGCGGGCCGGCCGGGCCGGGCAGGCGCCCTCGCCCCTCCACCGCCCGCGCCCCTCCCCCTCGCCCCCCATCTCAAACCCCGAACCTCTGGGAGCTCACTGTGAGGAATGGCTTTCTGCAGCCCCCGTCGTGGGAACTTAGCGCCTGAGACCCCTCAGCGACCTCCGACTCCCTTTAAAATCCTGGAAGGACTGGGGGGAGGCCGAGCGGAGAGGGTTGCCCGGGCAGGGACCGGGAGCCGTGAGCGGTGGAGGTTTAACCCTCCCGTTCCCTGCAGCCGCCCGCTGGGTTCGGGGTGTCCCTTCGGCGCTAGGGCCGCGGCTGGGCCGGAGCGGGGTGGGGCGCCCGTGGGTGGGTGTGCGCGCGTGCGCCTGTGGGGGAGACGGGGAGACCCTCTCCCCCGCAGGTTCTCCCCGGGTTCCGGGGTGTGAAATTGGAGCCCCTGGGTAGATTAAAGTGTTGGGGCTACCGTGCCTCGGTCGCCGATCCGTGACGCATTTCAACTTGATCTTTCTGCATGTTGATTTCACTATTAAATCAGAAACTCGCCGGGCCCTTCGCCGCCCCCAGACCGCCTGTAACTGACACCCCAGGCAGAGGGGCTGGAGGGGGGGGCTTTTGTTTGAAAATTTAAAGGTGGGGCGGGCTCTCCTCCCGCCCGCCCCCCGCCCCTGCGAAGGGCAGGCATGGATGGGGACGGAGGATTTGGGGTCTCACTCCGCCCCACTCCCGGCCTCCGGCGACGGCGTGGCCCGGGCGCGGGGTCGGGTGGCTTTTCGTGCTCGGTGCCCGCGTGGGGCGCGCCCGGGGGCCACCCCGGTGGGGACCCCGCGCGTTGGGAAGGGGGTGCGAGCGGGCTGGGGCCGCGGGCGCTGACCGTGTGGCTCTGCTTGCAGGAAGCCGAGATCCCCCGCGAGGTAATTGAGAGGCTGGCGCACAGTCAGATCCACAGCATCCGGGACCTCCAGCGACTCCTGGAGATAGACTCCGTAGGTAAATCGCGCCCCTTCCCTCGCGCGCGGGGTGGGCGCGGGCCGGCCGGGAGGCCGGCGGGGAGTGCGCCCCGCGCCCCTCCTGCGTGTGGGCCGGGCTCCGCAGGAGCGCACCGAAAGGTCAGAATCCAATCCCGGGCCATAAAAGCCCAGGCGGATGAGTCAGGAGTTTCTCTTCCAATCACCACTTTCTCTCTCCGGGGCGGCCAGGGCCGCACGCTAGCCCGGGGATTGTTTTGCGTGTAAGGACTATGCCGCGTGTGTCACAGAAAGTTCAGCCGCAGAGAGGGCGCCGGTGCCCCGGCCAGGTGCGCCCGCTCGAGGCCTGCCCTCCAGCCCGGGGCGGGGCGGGAGCCACGCCAGGCCCGGGCGCAGGGCCTGGAGGGCGCGGGAGGGGCACGTGCCCCTTTCTGGTGGCCGGAGGCGCGCTCTTCTCTCTTTTCACAAGGCAATAAAAAGGCGCGCCTCGGACACGTCTGCTGCGCGGGGACTATTTCGGGGCTCGCCCTCGGCCTCTGGGGGCCCCGCCACTTCAGACGAGTCTATTTGTGAAGCCGAGTGTGGAAGCCCTGGGGTGTCTGCGGCAGAGTTGGACGCGGCCTGAGGTCGTGGGGACCCAGGGCGGCTTGCGAGGAGCCGGGTGGCTTTGCTGGGGGGTGGGCCGGAGGGAGCCCCTTGCTGGAGGAGCTCGGGAATTCTGACCCACGCATGAGTGGCGTGGGAACTCTGGTGTGTCCGCGTTAGCTGGGGAAACACGCGTAGGAGAAACCTCGCTATCGACCGGTGAAGTGCGGCCCCGAAATGAACTTGTTCAGGGGGGTGGCCGGGTGGGACAGCCAGCGGAAAGGAGACTTCTCACCGCAAACTGTCCCGCAAGAGGCGTGGGGGTGGGGCAATTAAGGGAAATCACAAGGTCTGGCCACTTGGAAATTTGTACCTAATTATGGTGGTGGCGAGGCCTGGAGGGCTTTCATTCCCTGCCAAGACCGTCTTCTGTGGAGGCCAGCGATTCTGTGGTTTCTTGACCCAGGAAATCCTTTGCTGATCCTTATCGGGCAGGGGGTAGAGTTTCACTCGGAGATCAGAGCTGGGCGGGTTTTTATCTGCCCCTTGGTGTGCAGTCCTGGGAGAAGGGTTTGTTTTTGGTGAGCTGGGAAAGCGCTCGCCTGCACTCTGCAGGCCCCTGTGGACCCGGGGCGTGGGGAGGGTTCGGGGGCGTGGGGAGACGGCCTCCCGAGAGGAGGAGGTTCCGCAGAAGAGCGGCCTGTGAAGGGCAGGGCCTCCCTGCGGGACGGCTTTGGGAGCCGCGGGAAATGGGCCATCGGCTTTCTGCTGGGACCATTCTTATTCCGGCCTTTGCAGGCCCGCCTCCCCCTCCCCCACCCGCCCGTCGGTGGCTTTTAGCTCCACCTCTGCCGCCCTGGGGCCGGTATTCCTGGCCTGGGGGCTCTGGGCCCAGAGCCTCTGGGAGGTGAGAGGGGCCTAAACCAAGAGGCCGGGATGCACCAGCCCGTTCTCAGCTGGTTTCAAATTGCCCCTCGTAAAAGGCCCCAGAAGCTGCCTCCCTCCCGCCCCAGGGAGTGGGAGGGGCCGCACCTGCCCTGGGCCCGCCTCGCCGGGATTGTAGGACCCCGCGCCCCGTGCCCGGGGGACCGTGGGCGAGGACCGAGGGAGGGAGGCCTTCCTTCCTTGCTCACCACCTTGTCCCTCGTGCTTGTGCCACCCCTCCCCCCAAAGTGTCTGTCCGGGCTCCCTCCCCTCTCACAGACATGGAAGCCGAAAACCAGAGGAGACCCGGTCGCTGGCCTGAGCGGAGGCGTCGCACCTGTTGCCTCCACAGCCTGTCTGGGGGGCTCTTCCCCTCCAAGCCTGCCCCCCGCCCCGCAGGCTGCTGCTAGGGGAGGCTGAGCAGCTGTGGCGCATCCAGCTGCCCTGCCGGCCCCGGGCTCCCCCCAGGTCCCGGTACAGGTCTGTCTGGGCCAGGAAGGAAGGGCTGGGTGCTGAGCAACCCCAGGACAGCCTCCTGCCTTTGTGAGCAGAGCCCAAGGGGGCCCTTCCAGGTGGACCCGGGTGGGAGGCCGACGCCCTGGGAACAGGCTTTTCCAGCCGTGGCTTCTCCCTGTGTGGGCGGAGCCTTGTGATTGGCAGGTGGGGGTCCGGACCGCATTCCCCCTTTGGCCGCGAGACACTGAGCCCGCACCCTCCTCGGTGTGGCTGGGTTCCCGCCCCGGGACTGTGCGCCAGGGAGCGTGTGGAGGGGGCGGTTTTCCACGGGCTGTGGAGCTGGGCCTGTGTGTCCAGCGCGAGGAGAGCAAAGCCGTCGCGCGCGGTGGCCGCGGCCACGGGAGCTTTGTTCTCCCAGATGCCTGGCTCAGGGCCCGCGGGTCACCGAGTGAGCGAGACGCACGTGTCCCGCACGTGTCCCGTCTTGGGCCGTGAGCGCTCGCCGGGACTGGTGGCGGGAGGCCTTCTGCCAGGCTGGTGGCCACGTAGGCCTCTGCACAGAAGACACAGGGAGCCACTTGGCTAGCGGTCCCGGGGCAGCAGCAGGGTGACCGGCGGGTCTCCCGTACGTCCCGCTGGCCACGGGAGGGAGGCGGCGTCCTGGCCGGCGTGCTGACCACCCGTCTTGAGGGGGCCGAGGGTGGGCTTGTTTGACCAGAAGCTGTCTCTGCTCTGTCTCTCGTCTCCACAGCCGGGTCGGGTTTCAGCCGGTGGGCCACCGGGAGGCGCATTGTCCTCTGTCTGTGAGGCAGGAGGAGGCCTGGGGCCCCGAGCGCTTGCTGCAGCTCTGGCTGCGTCGCGTGGGCCTCAGTGTCCTCGCGCTGAGGGAGGTTGGGTGCCCGTGGTGTACGCGGGACGGGACGGGGTGGGGGGCGGTCGGGGGAAGGCAGGCAGCGCCGGGCTGCAGGGCGGCAGCGGGCAGTGCGAGTCGGCATCTCTGAATTGTCTCTCAGAGCCGAGCTCGAGCTCGGAGCAGCTGCCCTTTGGTGTGGCGGCGGCAAGATGGCCTCGACCAGGACGTGACTCATAAATGTCACTTTCTCGAGAAGAAGTGCTTCTTGTAACAGTTGGTGGATGGGACGTTCTGGTTGCATGAGGAGCTCTGTTCTGATCTTATTTTGGGTCTCAAAAAAACAGTGGCAGTGGAACATTGAGTCATTTTAAGTGAAGAGTTGGGTTCCACTCCGACTTCGGAAACAGCGCAGCGTTTGCCGTTTGCAGTTTCCCTTCAGACCCCGCGGGCAGTCACGGGGGGGCTGGGGAGGGGCCGGTCGCCCTTGGGGGGGGCGGCGGCACACGGGGTCTTCGCACAGTGGCTGGCGCGCCTGCCTCCTAGAGCACGTCTTCCGGGGACCCTTGGCTCCTGGTTCTCTCCTGGGGAGGCCAGAGGGAGGGGGAGCCATAGGAGCGGCCGCCCAGCTGGGTCTGGGACAAGGGCGGGCAGCGAGGCCGGGCAGCGAGGCCGGGCGGGCCAGCCCCTCTGTGCAGCTGCGGGAAGCGTCGGGGGCGCGTGCTCCTTCCCCCCCACCCCGTTCCCGAGGAGAGGCTGGGAGTGTGGGGCGGGGCTCTGGCCAGCCCGGGGGCCTAGGGTGCAGCGGGTCGCAGTGCCCGGCGGCTTGGCCCCTGATCGCGGCCCTGACGGGCCTGGTGGCCAAGGCCCTTCCCTCTGTCCGTCACGAGGCCTTTCAGTCTCAGCCCTGCGGCTTCTCCTCGTGCACCCCAAGTGCGACGCCTCATTTCCCTCTTGGGTTCTCGGGGTCCCCCCAGCCCCCGGGTGGACGGGCTTCAGGACGGGTGGGGTTTGGCGGGCAGCCCGCTGTCCGGCTTCGAGGGTTAGGACGCTGCCTCAGGCTTGGTGCAGCAAGGGGCAGGTCCCGCTGCGCCGCCGCCTGGGTCCTTGGTCCAGCCCCGTTGGTTCTGGGCCATGTGGACCTGGGGGGCTTCCCCGCCCGGCTCAGCCCTGGCCTGGGCTTCCTGGGGGAGGCAGCTGGAGGAGACCCCGCAGGCCCTGCACAGCCCACCGCTCTGCTGCGAGGTGCTTGGGGCATCCGTGCAGGCTCTGTGGGGTGTTTCCGGCAGCTGGGAGGGGAGCCTTCCACCCTCTGCACCTCTGGAAACTCCCCATGTGGGAATGGGGGGGTCTCCCAGGGGACCCCTCTGCCGTGGGGAGTGAGGGCAGGGCGGAGCTGCAGGAATAGCTGTGGTCAGGTGGGGGGGCCAGCTGGTCAGCTGGTCACCATTTCTTCTTTGTACCTGTAGGGGCTGAGGATGCTCTGGAAAGCGGCCTGAGAGCCCACGGGGGCCACGCCACCAAGCGCGCACCTGAGAGGCGGCCCGTGCCCGTTCGGAGGAAGCGGAGCATTGGTGAGCTGGGGGCTGGGGGCTGGGGAGGGGCCTCGGGCCTCCTCCTCCCCTTCCTCCTGCAGACAAAGGCCCAGCCTGCTCAGGGGCTCCTCCCTCCTGCAGGGGTGTCTCCCTACCCTGGCCTGGCCCTGCCGAGAACCCCTGGAGAGGGAGCCGTCATAAATTCCTTAAGTGCCGGTCTTGTCGGGGCCTGCTCTCGAGGAGGCCTCGCGGGGAGACGGCGCGTTTCATTTCCAGCCTGTCCTGTGGAGTGCAGGGCGCTCCTGGCTGCGAGCCGCAGGCCGGGCGCAGCCGCGCGCAGCCGCGCGGAGCCCAGCAGGCTGCTCCCAGCGGCCCCCTCCCCGCGCCCCCTCCCCGCCGGGCGCCGCTCCGAGGGCTCCACCTCCGAGCGGTTTGGGGGTGTTGGTTCTTGTCCCTCCCGCCAAGCAGCCCAGGTCTGCCAGCTGGTGGGGCTCGGAGGGGCTCTGCTCCTTCTCGCTCTGGGGGCGCCGTTTGGGGTGTGGGCCGTCCAGCCCCTTGCCGTCCCGAGGGTCTCGCCTGCGTCCTGCGGCTGCTGCCTGTGAGCCCCGACTGCACTCGGGCAGGTGGCTTTGGTTTCCTCTGAGGAGATGGGTCTCGTAGCTTCTCCCTCTGTGCACGGGCAGGCGTGGGGGTCCCCGCTCCACCGGCGGATTTACTGTTGGGCCGTACCGGTCACGTCCTTCGGCCAGTCGCGAAGGGCAGGCCCCCTCCAGGGGGAATCCTCTGTGAGTCCTGTCCCACTCCATGCTGGGGGGGCAGTCCTGACAAATTACGAGTCTGGACCCAAGGCCCCTCCCTGGCTCCACCCGTGAGTCCACTCAGCCCGGCTCTGCAGGCCCCTCTGCCTGGCGGGTGCTGGGCTGGGGCAGCTGCTTCCCTCCGGGCACAGCCCGACCGCCAGCAGCCGGGCTTCCCGGGTTGGTGGCTTGTTCTTGGGGGTGCAGCGTCCCCGCTGGGTCTCCCAGGGCTCTCAGGAGGTATTTTCCCTCCAGATCAGAAGGGGAACCCCCCACCCCGGCCCCCGGGTGAAGGCAGAGTGTGTGGTCCTTTAGCTGCATCTCGGGCCCCTCTTCTGCGCAGAGGCTGGCGCCCGCTCCGGGCCTCCGTGTGAGAGTGAGGGGCGTGTCGGCGCGGCGGGGGCCCTCCCTGCCCAGGACGGGACAGGGTCCTTCAGCCCCGGCGCTGGGGCCCCGGGGCCCTGGGTGTTGCCGGGACAGCGGCTTCGCTGCCGGCCGGGCGCCCCGGGTGCGTGTCGGGGCCGCGGGGGGTCCCGGCGGCCGGTTCCCGTGCTGCCGCGTATACGATGCCCAGCAGGGCCCGGAGGCCGTGTGTGGGGGTCCGGGGTGGGCTCCCACCCATTGGTCCGCCCTGGTCTCCCTGGGGAGTTGAGGGCTTCTGGCCAGACGGGTTGGCCTGTGCGGCGGAGTCAGCAGAGAAGAGCCAGCTCCTCCGTGGAGGGGCCCCCGCGGCCCCTGGGCGGCCTCACGGTGACCACGAGGCCCCGTTTCAGGAGCACCCCCCAGGCCTCCTGTGGCGGCTCCGGTCTCGGAGGAGGGGTGCCCCAGAGCCACCTGGGCGCGAGCCCTGGAGCCAGTCACCAGCGCCCGTGTGGGTGCGACCCGGCCTGGAGCAGGGCCTGGCCCTGGGGTCACAGCTGTGCCCAGAGCTGTGTCCCCTTTGTCTGCCCAGCTGTCGCGGCTCTTGGCCTCAGTGTCCCTGCTGTCCCCACCTCCACCGGCCCCACCTGCCGGTCAGCCGGTCTCCATTCTGTCCCCAGCCATGCGCTCCCTGCCCCCCAGGTACACGGGGACTCTGTCCTGTCTCGGCCCAATGTCACGTGGTCCCGTGTCATGGGGTCCCCTTGCCTGGCTATGTCCTCCTCCTGAGGCCCCCGCTGGGTCCTTGAGCCCCTGCTCATCCTGGGACAGCTCAGCGTCGGCCTTTGGGGGGCCCCGGGGTGGCCTGACACCGTCAGCCTCGTTGGAGGAAGGTCCAGCCACTCTTGAGGCCCCGGGGGGCTGGGGGTGCTCCGTGGGGATGGGAGTGGCCTCCACACCCACCAAGGCCCTTTCTCTACAGAGGAAGCTGTCCCTGCTGTCTGCAAGACGAGGACGGTCATTTATGAGATACCTCGTAGCCAAGTGGACCCCACCTCTGCCAACTTTCTGATCTGGCCCCCGTGCGTGGAGGTGAAACGCTGTACCGGCTGCTGCAACACCAGCAGCGTCAAGTGTCAGCCATCCCGCGTGCACCACCGCAGCGTCAAGGTGAGCCCGCCACCCCCGAAGCCACGGGCAGGAGCAGAGCTAGGGAGGGGCGGGGCGAGACGGGCGGGCGGGGCCTAGGGGCTGCGGGTGGGCGGGGCGACTGCTGTCCGTGGGCGGGGCGTAGGGGTGTGGGCAGGCTCAGGGCAGAGGCTGAAGGCGGGGCGCGACGACGTGGGCGGGGCTGCGGGCCGTGGGCCGGCGAGTGCCGAGAGGGTGTCTGGGTTCCCCCCTGCCCCACACAGCCTCGAAGAAAGAAACCTTTCTCGCAGGCACCTTGGTGGGGCTGTGGTGCTTGGCAGGTGGGGTCGGGGTCCTTTCAGCCTGCCCTGCTCCCAAAGCCTCTGCCCAGAGCCCGGGAGGGAGGGAGGCGGTGCCCGGGCGCGCCACCTGCGTGACGGGGACCTGGGTGTGGACCCTAACCTGGGAGTCCCTTGCCCTCCCCGCCGGAGTCCGTGGGGAACGTTCTGCCTCTTCAGGTCACTCTGGGTGGCCGGATCGGGGCTGGCTTTTGGCCCAACAACTGGAAGCTCCTATGGAGACTGCCCTCCCCCACCGCCTCAGTGGCCACATCTGTGAAATGGGTCTGAAGCACAGCGTCAGGCGCCTGGGCTGCGAAGCTCCATGGAGAGCCTGGGGGAGCCTTTCCGTGTCTGGACGTTGGTGCCTGACCAGTCCTTTGCAGAGGGACAGGGTTGGCGGGAGGCCCTGCGGCGTCTCCTGGCTTCTTGGAATGGAGGCTGATGCTGGGGGCCAGTGGCTCCCCTCTGGGCTCCGGGGGGCCGGGACCCTGGCGCGTGGGCCCGTGGGCCTGGGTTGAAGGTGTCTGCCTGGGGGAGCGTTAGAGCTCATTCCTCGGCGGCACATTGTTTCAGACCCTCGGTGCCGCCTCCAGCCCCGCCCCGGGGTGTCTGCCCCGGGGTGGCCGCGGGAGGTGCAGGGGAGCAAGCGTTTTCAGCCGACGACCGCGTAGTGGCGGGGCTGCGGTCACGCGACTGGGCCCTTTAGACCCATCACCGGGACTGGACCTCGGGGGCGTGGCCCCGCCCTGTCTGGGAGCTGAGTGAGCACATTCCACGGCCTCTGCCCCGCCGGCATGGGGGGCACTGGCTGGGGCGCCGGCTCCCTGGGGGCCGGGGGGCCTGACCCAGGCCTCCAGACCGCCAGGAGCAGGAGCTCTGTGCCCGCGTGGGGCAGCTCCACCCCATTTCCCCACCGCCGACCCGCTGCCCCAGGAGGAGCCTGCGGCCCAAGGGGCGAGCCCCGTGCGCCCTGCCCTGGCCCTGCGGGTGGGGTCCCCACTCTGCAGCCGGCTTCCACCCTCAGGGTCTTGTCGTCCTCCCTCGGGGCAGTTTGGGGGCCTCATTAGCCCCGGGAATGTAGGTACCGGAGGTGTTTTTCCCTTGGCACAGGCAGGGGTGCACGAGAGGAGACGGACCCACATATGGGCCCTCAGGGGTCTGAGGGGGGGGCCTGGAGGTATTGAGGGGCTGCAATGAAGGGGGCTCCGGCCTCCAGGGACAGCCCCTGTTCCCCTCCCGCTGCTTCTGCTCGGAGGACCGGGGGTGCCTGGTCCCAGGATGGGCAGCGGTCTGCCTCTGTCTGCGGGTTGATCTGAGCAGGTGGGCGGGGGCCCCCGCGGCCTGGCGGGGGCCCCTTCTGGGGAGGAGGCATCTCTGCCCGGGGTGCAGGTCCCGCAGGCCCAGGGCAGGTGGCGGAGCTGGGCCAGAGCTTCCCCTGTGGGCCTCGTCTGCCCAGACGGGGTCATGGTCAGGCCAAGGGGCGACAGAGGGGCTCCCCCCTGCATCTGGAGGCCAGGTGGCCCGGGCCCACGCCCCACGCTGCTCGGCTTGGACCTCCCGCCTCTTCCCTGCCCGCCCGTCAGAGGGTCGGCAGGGCGACGTCCGGCCCCAGACACGGGGGTTCTGGCAGAGAGAGGGCAAAAGGTCAGTGGGAACAGGAGGCCCATTGTGGAGGCCGGCCGGCGGGGCCAGGCCGACGGCCGCTCCCTTCTCCGTTTGGGGTTGGGGCAGAGCAGGCTCAGGCCTGGGCGGCGGGTGCTGGGCAGGTGCAGGTCCTGGCCGCGGGCGGCACCCCCCTGGTGTCCCGGTCTTTGGGCTCACAAAGGCGTCTCACGAAAGGAGACAAACCCAGGCTGGGCGTGGCCTCCCTGTGGTGGCCGACCCGGGGCCACTGTCTAGTCTGAGCTCGGCCGAGGGCTGCCTGGCGGCCCTGGGCCCTGGGTGTTGGGGCCCCTGGGGCCGGTGGCCACCCTCTCTCCATAGGTGCATGAGGCCGTGGTGTGCGGCGGAGGGCGGGCTCGCCTGCCCTGGGACCTGCGCCCCGGGCCCCCGTGGCAGCACGGCGGGAGCACCCAGAGGCAGGGCCCGCGCACCCCAGGCCCCAGCGTCGCCAGGGCGCGGCCGCCGTCGGGGACAGGCTGGGGGTCGGGGGTCGGGGGTCGGCGGCCCTCACTGGGCTTGCTGTCTGCCCACCAGCCGGCCTCCCTGAGGAGTGCGTCCTTCCACAGCCCCGTGTGCGGGCCGACAGCCAGACCCCGCCGGCCCCCGCCCCTGCCCCTGCCCCCAGGGCCCAAGCCTTGTGGTTAGGCGGGCGGAGGCCGTGACTCTGCAGGTGTCTGCAGTGACTCAGCCCCCGGCCCTGGGCCGGGCGCTCTCTGCAGGGTCCGGGTGCAGGGGCAGCTGTGAGCACCGGACCCCGTGTGCACAGCCCCAGGACCCGCAGGCCGGGGCTCCGCTCTGTCTGAGGGCCCCTTGTGGGCGTGAGCCGAAGCCCATCAGCGGGCGAGCTTGGGCCGCCCCAGTGTCCGGAAGCCAGGACCCGGCTCTGCGCGGCTGGGCGGGCCCCGGACGGGCCTCTGCAGCCTCCGGATGGAGTTAGGGGGGCCCTTTGGAACCCCGTGGCCGTGCGGCATCCGGTGTAGGGCCGGAGAGGGAGGGTGCTCCGGGGTGAAGGCCTCAGGTAAGGCCCCACGTCCCTCCTCGGCCGCAGAGATGCCCCATGCCTGCGTGGGCAGCGCCCCTGTGGTCAGGAGGCCAACACCCGGGGCCGTGGGGCACTGGACGTGGCTTCAGGGGCACTGCCATCAAGCTCAGGAGCCTGGGGTCACTGTTCTTGGGGTCGTGTTGGCCTCTAGCCGGGCGGGGGAGGAGGGCCCCCCTCGCCCCACCTGTCAGCCCAGGGGAGCTTGTCCGCGTGGCCCTAGGGGTTGGCTTCAGCTCTAGATGGCCGTGGGGCGGCTGGGGGTCACGCAGGGACCGCTGCTCCTGGAGCACTGGGCTCCGGGGCCGCCCCCCCGCGGGGACGGACGCCTCCACCTGGGAAGCGCCCCGGTGCAGAGCGCGCTCAGGGCCTCTGCTGCGTCCAGGTCCAGGCCCCCTCCCGGTGAAAGCACCCTGTCGGCTGCCTCGGCGTCCGCCCGGTAGAGTGGCCGTCTCCCGGGGCGCTGAGGCTCCCCGCCCCGCCCGGAGGGGCGGCGCCCCTGTGGTCGCTGACGCAGGCGCCCGCAGGAGCGGGGAGGCGGAATGTCTGTTTTACGAGGTGCCGCCCGGACACTGAGGGGGCGGACGGGACACAGGGACCCCGCTTGGGCTCCGGTGTGGGTCTGGGGACCGAGGTGGCAGGAATGGGGTCCCCTTCTGGGGACCTGGCTAGTGTGGAGGGCACCTCTGAGAATTTAATATTCACAGCACACTCTTGGGGGAAAATGTATCCATTTCCTGGAGCTGGACGTTCAGGAATTCTCGCAGACCAGACGCAGGTGCGTCGTAAATCTCTGTTTGTTTTCCTTTGATAAAAGTGGGCCACGTGAGTGGGGCCGCCGTTCCCAGCCCTGAGTGGCCGGCGCTGTGTGTGTTTTGCGAAGGGGACTGGGCAGGAGGTGTTTCTGGCGCACCCGCCCCGTGCAGCGGAGCCCTCTGCTGCCCAGGGGTCCAGGGTCTCTGCCCAGCCGCGTCCCAGGGCCTGCCCTGCAGAGGAAGCCGGATGAGGCCCCGGGGCCGAGAGCAGGACAACTGCCCGCCTGCCCGGCCCCCGAGTCCCTGACGGAGGTGGAGGGCGGTCTGGGGGCGGCCCTGTGGAGGAGGAGGAGGGTGTGGACAGGGTGCCGGCGGCCCTGTGCCCCTCGGGGGCCTCTCAGGCACACCCATCCAGCGCCCTCAGGGACCCCGCCCCCTCGGGCCGCCCCCTCGGGCCCTGTGTGAAGCCGCGAACTCCGGGGGCCGCTCTGGAAGGTGGCCCAGTCCCCAGTGCGAGGTGCTTGTGCACGAGGGACCTTGTTTATTCCTCGTGACCTTGTGACCCATGCTCCCATTTTAGGAACCACTTAACGCTGCTGGCGGCCGGGTGCCCAGCACCCTTGGCACAGAGGGTCGGCACTGACGCGGCCGAGTTGCCACGGCCAGGCCCGCCTGCTGCGGGCTGGGTCCCCGCTGCTGGACGCCCGGCCTCTGCAGAGCAGCCAGAGGCGGCCGTCCCTCCCTGCCCCTCCCAGCCTCCCGGGTCGGGGTCTTTTGCCCTGAGCCCCCAGCTCGGGATGCCCCCACATGCTTGGGGTGCCACCGGTGGGCTCAGTTTCCCCAGGTGAACAGCAAGGGGATGGACGGAGCAGGTTCCCTGAGGGCTGGGGCCAGAGGGCGTGTCTGCCGGGCACGGGCTCCGGGTGGGGGGTGGGGCCCGCGGAGTGGCGGGGTGGTTCCTCTTGGGGACCAGAGCACAGGCTGTGGGCCTGCGGGGATGCGAGCCCTGGGGCTGTGGGGCGTGGCCAGGGAGCCGGTGTCTGAAGTCTGTCCCTGTCTGTGAACTAGGCGGGGGAAGGGAGGCCCGGCCCCTGGGCGTGCTCACCGGTGGTACCTTAAGTCTGCGGAGCCGCGTGTGCATGTGTGGCTGATGTTCTGAGACAGACACGTGAGCACGTGGACGTCTGTGTACACCCGTGTGGAGGGGGGTCCCCGGACAGGCAGTGGTTTCTTGGGGCCCGGGGGGATCAGGCTTCCAGCTGCCCCTCAGTTTGTGGCCCGGGGCCATTTCCCCCGAAGCCCCTTGGCGGGGGCGGGGGCAAGGCCTCCCACGGGGTGCGGGGCCCAGGGGCTCCCGCCGGCGAAGCCTCCCCGTGGGCGCTGGCCGCCTTGCCCCAACCGAAGAGGCGGCCGGGACGGCCCCGGGTCTCCGCCCACATTTCCTCCCTGTCCCGGGAGACCTGTGGCCTGGTGGCCACAAGACGGCCTCCTGCCTGGGACTCAGGCTGGGGTGGCCTGGCCCAGCGCCTCGGGGGAGTGGGGTCCCGTGGGAGTGCATCCCACCCAGACCCCGGCCGCCTGTTCCCGGGGCCGTGGGCAGGAGAGAGCCGGGGGCCGGGTGAGGAGCGGTGCCGTCCCCCCAACAGCAAGCGCGCGTGGAAGCGCGTTGCTCTCTCCCCTGCCGCCAACCCTCCCCAGCTCCCGCACGCGGGTGGGGGCGATTTTAAGGTAAAACAGGGCACAGACGCTGTCTGAAGCTCGGTTTGCACCAGGCCCTCCTGCCCTCCCGCCGGCAGGGCCGGGGTCCAGGCCCCCCTGGCCTGTGGGCCGGGCGCTCACGGCCGGGTCTCTTGTCCCGGCAGGTGGCCAAGGTGGAGTACGTCCGGAAGAAGCCCAGGCTGAAGGAGGTACAGGTGCGGCTGGAGGAGCACCTGGAGTGCGCGTGCCTGCCCGCCGGCCCGAGCCCGGACCACCGGGAGGAGGAGGCAGGTCAGCAGCCGCGAGGGCGGGGCCGCCCTGGGGTCAGGCAGGGCTTGCTGACCAGACAGCGTGCCCCGCGGACACGCCAGGGGCGTGTGGCCGCCGAGGACGTCGACGCCAGGCGGGCCGAGCCAGGCGGCTCTGGCGAGAGAGGTTTGGGCTGGGGGGTGGGCGGTGGGGGTGCGCTGCACGTCTCCGGCCCCCGCCCCGGGGGAAGGTCGGCGCTGGCCAAGGGGGCCGTGGCCTCCGGCCGCGGGCGGGCTGCCCCGGGGCGGCGCAGCCCCGGGCCGGCGAGGGCCCCGGGACGTGTCTTCCAGCCAGGCGAGCAGCCCGGGTCGCCTTGTTCGGTGCCCACGGGCAGCCTGCCCTTCGGCCTGCTCACCTCCCTGCCCTTCTGTTAACAGGGAGGCGTAGGGAATCAGGTAAAAAGCGGAAAAGGAAAAGGTTAAAACCCACCTAACCCGCCGACCAGGTAGGAGCTGCCGCGGGCGGCCGCGTCCCGCGGGGGGCGGTGCTGTGAGGATCTCGGGCGAATCACCCAGCGAGGACGCGGCCGTGATTGGCCTTGATTGCCCTGCGAGCTTCTGGTGTCTGGCTGGGCTGCGGGTCTCCTGCCCCCCCCCGACTCCCCAACCCCCGCGCACAGAGGCCTGGCCTTGGCCCTTCCGCCCCGGAGGCCCTGCTCTGGCTTGGGTCCTTTCGTTGATCGGTGGGAGGGGCCAGGGCATCCCGTGAATGGAGTGGTTGGGGTTTCCTGGGCAGCAGTGGGATCAGCCTGGGCCGGTTACCTGCCCCATTTGACAGCTGAAAACACCGGCCGAAGGAGATTTCAGTTAAGGGCCATCCAAGGCCGAGTAGATCCTGGGTGAAAATGCTTTGTGAACATTTAGGGCCATTGACCTGAGGTAGGTGTTCACATAGAGACAGAGAGACCATAGCAAGGATGGCAGTTTTGAGGTATCTCCCCAGAGGTACCTCATGGCCCAAAGTGGCTGCTCAAGTTCCAGAAATCACAGCCACACTCCAGGCTGAAAGAAACTGTAAGGTGGGAAGAAGGGTGAAACAACCGCCTTAGAGAAATCCCACCCAGTGACTTTCCTTTCGATCTGATGGGCCAACCCTCAGCAGCAAGGCAGCCTGGGAAGAACAGCCTTTTAGAGAAGCACACTGTTTCCCGGAAGAATAGGGGCTCAGGGCAGCCCCCGCCGCGTGGGGGAGGCGGCTTCAAGCCGTCCCCCATCCTCGGGGCTGGCCTGCCCGGTCCTGGAGAGGCCGTTCCTGGCCCCGGGCACGCGGGAGCCCGTGCATCCAAAACAGTGCTGAGGGCAGTTCCAAGACAGGCGGCCGGGGGCCGGGCGCATCCGTGAGGTCCTCGGGGCGCACGGGGCCACGCGGACGGCCCGAGGGCCTGGTGCGGGGGACGCCACCGTGCGTGTGGGCTCCGACCTCCAGGGGCCACCTGAAGAGAAGGGCCGCAAACGGAGGGGCAGGCGCCTCTGTTCCCTGCCAGCATTCAGGCGCTGGGCCCGTGGGTGTACGAGGGTCGGGGACCCGCGGGCGGGTGGCAGAGGGTAGGCTCTCGGCTCGGAGCGCGGCGTGGCTCCGCCTGGTCGCACAGAGCCCTGGCCGGCCACCCGTCCTCGGCGTTGCCTCAGGGCCCGAGGTGCCTGCCAGAGCTTCAGAAAGCACCTCAAACCCGAGGCCGGAAGAAAGGGGAAGGTGAGGAGAAAGACAACGGAGCCTTTCTGGGCCGCAGCCGCCTCTGTGCTCAGCGGGAGGACTGGCTGGCGCTCGAGCCGGTTCCTCCGTGAGGCACCAGAGCCTCGTCCCAGCCCCAGTCGGGATGGGGCAGAAAGGGTCACCAGCCACGTGCAGTTTGAGAAACGGAACGACACTTCAAATCCTAAGAGTCGACGCCGTGTGTGCGCACGTGCACGTGTGCTCATACGTGTGTGGCGTGCGCCCTCGCGCGGGCCCAGCGCTCGCTCTGGCCCCGCCTCTCAGTGACGTCTCTCTCCTTCTCCCTGCAGATGTGAGGTGAGGATGAGCTAGCAGCCCTTTCCCGGGACATGGATGTACATGGCGTGTTACATTCCTGAACCTACTATGTACGGTGCTTATTGCCAGTGTGCAGTCTTTGTTCTCCTCCGTGAAAAACTGTCTCCACGCACACTCTGGAGAACAAAGAGACAGTATACGTTTGTTTAATGTGACATCAAAGCAAGTATTGTAGCACTCGTGAGACAGTGAGAAGCGGCCCTGTCGAAACAGAGAGCGAGCGAAACCGCAGACACACTGAACTGACTCACAGACTCACCTAAGCGGGCGCGGGGATGGAGGCGCGCCCAGGGGTGGGAGCGCCGGACGCCGCAGCGGATGGACTTCTGTCCAGGGCGGTCGCAGGTGCTTTGGCCGAGGACGCAGACGAGCCTGCTCTTTCCGGAAGACTGACCGGCGCCGCGGCTCCGAGGGGGCGTGCGGGAGCCGAGTGTCTCGGAGACGCCGCGGGACTTCAGAAACCACATCTCCTTGCTGTAGTGTTTCAGTCTATACAGAACCTTCCTGAGAGCCTTAAGTGGGTTTTTTTTTTACACCATAAAGTGATTATTAAGCTTTCCTTTTTACTCTTGGCCTAGCTTTTTTTTTTTTTTTTTTTTAAATTATCTCCCGGACGACGCCGACACCGATAGCACCAGGCCGCTGCACCAGGCAGGCAGTGAGACGGGATTTCCCTCGCAGGACGCAAGCGAATGAGATGTATTAAAATAAACATGGTAAACCCGCCTATGCATCACGTCCTGAATGTTTCTGGCTGTACGTGTCTTCCCCTTGCCCCACCTTATGTTGCTTTTTAATCGAAGCCATTTCGAGAGAACTATGCGTGACCCAATCAAAGGCCGTCCGCCTCCGGTCCCCAGAGCTCCCGCCGGAGGCTGTGGCGCGGCTGTGGGAGGCGGCTCTCGCTGCTGCCTCCTGTGGACACAACCTAAATTCTTTATTTTTGGTAAGATGTTACGCGTTACGTGTACTCGACAAATGTGTGTGTGTTGTTTTTTGTTTTGTAAAGGTGAAGTTTGTATTTTTATCTAATATTACCAGTTTTATATACCTGAGAGCCTGCTATGGTTTTTTTTTTTTTCCTTTTTTTTTGGAACCAAAAGGAAAAAGAAACCACTGACAAAGCCCGTTCACGTGAAGGACGTTCTGGGGTCCCGTTTTCCTAGTTGCGTGACTGCGTCTTGGTCCGGCCTGGCTGCGGCCTGCAGCGGGGGCTCCTGGTGGCAGCCGGCAGACAGCGGCCTCCGGGGCCAGTGGTCCCCTGGGCCGGCCCCACGGCCGGAACATGCAGGCTGCCACCCGCCCCGGACTTGAGCCCAGCGGGAGTGGGCGGGCGCCGCGCGCCGTGCGTGTGGCCGGGGGAGGCGGACTGTGCTCCGTCAGGGCAGCCACGAGGAGGGGGAGGAGTTTCGATCCGGCCGTAGGCCGACCTCACTGTCGCGCGCACGAGCCGGCAGGCGCTGCGGTCCCGTCCTCGGCCGCGAGGCCCGTGTGGCTGTGAGGCCGCTGTGGCCCGTGGGGTTGTCTCTGCAGCGGGAGGAGCGTCTCCGGGCACCCGCGTTGGCAGGTTTTTTTTACAGAGAACTCCCTGCGGCTCCATCTGTGCCTCGGTCCAGCGCCTTGGGAAAGGAGGGGTGGGCGGGGCGGCCGACTCCCGGGTCCTGGCCTGGCCCCTGGAGGGCAGCGCCCCGGCGTGGGCGGTGGACCGGCCTCCGGCCTGTGCTGCGCGCCCAGCTGTGCCCGTGACATCGGAGGATAGATGCAGGAACCTGTCATTTCTGGGTTTGTGTCTGTGATGCCCCAGGAATGTGGCTCTGCTTCCTGCCAGTGGGTGAGCAGCCCACCCTTTAGAGCGACGCAGAGGGAAGGCCACACATGCTCTTGGGGAAGAGGCAGTGCCGCCAGGAGAGGCCCCAGTGCCCCAGCGCTGCTGGGGGCGGTCGGCAGTGGGGACCGGGCCCGCTGGCCGCCCTGTGGCACGGCGGACGGCCGCGTGCTGGGCCCCGCAGCCCCGGCAGGCAGCCCAGGGTCAGCGCGCGTGCGCTGTGCTGAGTGCAGAAGAGGCGGGGCCGCGGGGCCCTGCTGGGCTCTCAGGCTCAGCCGCCTCCCTGAGCGGACGTGTCACGCCTGCCCCAGCGTGTCCTCCCTTTTGCAGCTCTGGGCGGCGACCCGCCCACCTGCCCACCGCTCGGAGACCTGCGGCCCCCTGGCCGCCCCGCCTGGCCTCGGGTCGGCGGTCCGGGCTGCAGGCAACGGGGGCGTCCTGAAGTGGGGGCCCCTCTCTGTCTGTCCAGGCCTCGGTGTCCGATCTGTGAGGCTAGCGGACCTGGCTGGAGGGCGGCTGCCTGCCTGGGCCCCGGGGCCGTGGGAACATCTTGCGGCTGCCGGCCAGGCCAGGCTCTGGCAGCCTCCGGGCGCGCCGGGCCTCGGCCTCGCCGACCCCGTCCTGGAGACACGGCTGCGCTCTGGTGGGCCTCCCGCCTGCGAGGGGCCTGCGCGGGAGGGCCGCGGCGGGGCCCCGGGGGCGCTGCACGGGTCCGAGCGGCCTGCTGTCCCCCGTGGCCTTGGTTTCCCTGAGGCGGCATCAGTCGGGCGGGAAGTGCCGCGGCCGGGTCTGTGTCGACTGAGCGAGGTGTTGGAACCCCAGGTGGCTCTGGTGCTCCCCCAGCCCGTTTCTGGCCGCAGTAAAGTGTTGCTAAAAGAACGCTGATTTAAATGAAGAGCAAAGGGGCAAGGGATCGGGCGGTGCCCCTGCGTGGGGACACCCGCGTGGCCGGGGGCCACGGGCTCACCCCCACATCACCAGACACGTGGTCTCCACAGGGCGGCCGCCCTGCCTCCAGGCGACACCCCCGCCCCCCGCCCTGCAGACACGGATTTCGCCCCTGCCCCCGCGCCCCGTGGCTGCTCCAAGGACAGAATTGGAACCGGGGACAGGCCCTGCGGCTGGGGGGATGGGGCCTGAGGCCCAGGCTCTGCTGGGTTCTGCCCTATCCTGGACCACCCAGCACCGCAGCCTTGGGCGGCTCTCCATGTGACCTTGGGTATCTCATGACCTTGGGTGACCTTGCCATGCGACCTTGGCGGGTGGGCCCTTTCTCTGGTCTCTGAAACCGTTGCTGGCACTGTTAGCGGTGCTGGGAAGGAGTCTCGGGTGAGGATGGAGCTGCCCTGAAGACCAGAGCGGGTGAGGCGTGGGCTGAAGCCAGACCCCAGGGCTGCCGGCCTCAGGCCCGGCCGTGCACCCGCCTCGCACGGCTCCGCTCCGCTCGGCGGCGAGCGACCCTTCCCTCCTCCCTCACCCCCGGCTGCCTGGCTGAGGTGACCGGTGGGCCACGTAGCCCCTCGGACGAGAGGGTGGAGGCTTCGCTGCGCTCACCCCGGGCCATGCCCCTCGGGGCGCCTGGGCCCCGCGCGCTGCCCACGCCTGCTTTGGCCGTGCCGTCGGCGGGCCCTGCGTTCTCCCTGCCAGCCTGGGCCCTGGGAGGCAGGGCTGGGGCTGAGTCCTCCTGGGTCCCCGAGACGGGTCTCCGAGGGGGTGGCAGCCAGTTTTGCTGAGAGCCTGGGTCCTTGGGGGTGCCTGGCAGCCCAGACCCCAAGTCGCCGCGGCTGGGCTGACACCGGGGCCCCTGGGCGCACCCCAGCGTTGGGCCGGGGCCCAGCCCGACCTCGGGGGTGGGGGCAGCCTGCAGGAGCCAGCTTGTCACCCCACGTCCCCGCCCCAGTGGCGTCCTGGGCTGGAATCCACCCCCGCGCCCCGAGGGGCTGGGGACGCAAAGCGTGCGGTTTCTGCAGAATAAAACTGTGACTGTTTCCAACCAGGCCCTTGAGCTGCCAAAAAATGTGGAGTATTCACCGTCTGGCCCCCGGCCTGCCGATCCGTGGGAGGACGCCCCCCCCCGCCGTGCACCAGACACCCTCATGGCAGCGCCCGGGAGCGGAGCCCCCCGCCCCCCGGCCCCCGCGGTCCTCTCTGCCACCTGGCTCTGCGCTGCCCAGAAGGCCTCTGTGGTCCTGGAGCGCAGGGCAGGCAGACCGACCTCAGCCCCCCAGGCTCCTCCTGGGCCGTCCCCGGCAGGGACACGCCGTAACCCTGCCCCCCCCGCCCCACGTGGAGCAGGGGCCGTGAGCCCCTGACCCTCACCTGGGGGGCTCCGGGCCCTCAAGGCCGCCGTGTCAGGCCTCTGGTCCCCCTGACTGTCCGGAGCACACGGCCGCGCGGGGGCGGGGGCAGCCTGCCCTCCTGGGGCTTCCCGGCTTGGGGAGGCCCTGCCCTTTGCAGTGTGGGCCCCGCGCGGCCTGGGCAGGGGGGCCGGCTGTGCGTGGGCCTGGCTGCGTGCTGTCCTGTGCAGCTGCGCTCGGGCCTGTGGGACCACGGCGCCTTCTCGGGTGTTTGAGGGGGGACTGGAGCCGGGGCGGCGGGGACGGGGCGGCGGGGACGGGCCTGGGGAGCCCGGCCTTGGTCGAGCTGCTCCAGGGTCTTTCCGGTCCCGGGCCAGGGCCTCCGGGAGGGCAGGCGGGGTCGCCCGGAGAACAAAGCGCCAGGCCCGCCGCAGCCGTGGCCCCCTCGGGGTTTCCTTGAGCTCCCGGGGAGGGGCTCCGGGCCCTTCTGCAGCTGTGTTTCCGGAGAGAGGCAGGGCTGCAGACTTGCCGAGACCTGCGGCCGGGGAGGCGGCCGCACCTGGGCTGCAGTCGCCCTTCAACACGGGCCCCCGGCGCGGCGCCCGCGAACTCAGCCTGACCTCGGAGGCGCTGCCCCAGGTTTTCCTGGCCCGGGGCTCCCCGCCCCGTCCGCCGTCGCAGCCTGGCGAGCCAGCTCCCCTCCGCCCTCCCCCTGAACCGGAGCCCCGGCCAGGCCGCAGCCCCGCCTGGCTCCAGGGCGCAGAGGCACGCGCGTTCGTGGGTGGGTCCCCTCATTCACTCGGGCCCCGTCTCGGGGAGGGCAGACCCTGTGTCTCCTGGCTGCGCCCGGGGCCGGGCCGCTGTTCCCCCCTCTGTGAGGGACTGAACCGTGGGGTCGGGCTGCAGGAGACCAGAGGGGCCCGAAATTTTGTACACAAGATGATTTTAGGTGGTACAGCGAGGAACGTCTCTGACCATATTCATTTCTACGGCTTTGATAGTTCTAGCGCTTACATTTGGGCCTTTGATCCACTTGGCGTGGGGTTCGGTGTGACATAGGGGTGTGATGTCATTGTCCTGCACGTGGGCATCCCGTTGTCCTTGCTCTGAGAGGCGGCCCCTCCCACTGAGGGCATGGGCGCCAGCTGACCGGCCTCCCGCCTGGGCTGGGCCCCGCCAACCCTTGGGGCTGCCTCGAGCCGGGGCCGCTCTGCCTCCGTTCCCGTGGTTGGTGGCGGGTTTGCAGCCGGGAGCCCGAGCCCCCGTCGTCCTGGGCGGCGCCGCTGTGGTTCCTGTGGGTTCCTGTCCTTCCCTCTGCGTTTCAGGGTGACCTTGTCCGTTTCTGCAGGCGGAAGCCTGGGATCCAGACGGGGTCGCGTCCCGTCTGTGGGCCAGCGTGGGCGGTCGGCCACCGTCATGTTACACTTCCAACCTGTGAGCACGGCATGTTTCCACGTATTTAAGGTCTTCGATTTCTTTCGATGACGTTTTTGTAATTCCCAATGTGCAAATGTCACGATTCTTTTGTTAAGTTTATTTCTAAGTAGTTTATTCTTTTTGGTGCCATTGTACATGGAACGCTCGTCTTAATTTTTGAA